CATCTGACCTCCAAAGTTTTTGATGAGGAAAATGCTGACAATATTTTTTATAGTTCCTTGTAAGGGAAGATTCACTTCTTTTTTTCTTGCATTCAAATTTTTTTCTTTGTCTTTTGAAAGTTTGCTTATAATGTGTCCTGGTGTTATCAAATTTGGCGAGCCTTAAGATATTATTCTTTTTAAATATCCTTTCTGAATCTTCGTCTGTCTTCTGTTGGAACTCACACAATTCGTAGGCTGGCCCACTTGATGGGGCATCACAGATTCCTTAGGTTCATCATAGATTCCTTAGGTTCTATTCACTTTAATCTTTTTCTCAACCATTTCTTAGACTCAATAATTTTCATTGTTTTCTCAAGTCTGAGGTTCTTTCTTCTGCCTGCTCAACTCTGCCTTTGATTCCCTCTAGTTAATCTATCATTTCAGTTATCGTATCTTTTGTCTCCAGAATGTCTTTGTAATTTCTTTTTAGTTCCGTTTTTGTTAATATTTCAATTTTGTTCATACATCATTTTCTTGACTTTCATTATAGCTGTTGTTTGAGCATTTCAAGTCTTTGTCAAGAACAGTTTCTGTTGATTATGTTTTCCTTTGGCTGGGACATACTGTTACTGGAATTTCTTTCTGCAATAAGTCCTTGGTCTCAGAGATTCAAAGAATGAAGTCAGGGACCACAGAGATCAATGATAAGAAAGAATTTATTACATAGGACAAAATAAAAGGAAAGAAAGGCAGCAGAGCCTCTGGCAGCAGGAGAGACCCAAGCAGGAAAACCTGTGTGTCTTTAGTCTAGGAGCTTTAGGCTGTTTTGGGAATTGAGCTTGGCCAGGACTTGACATGTTGATTAGTGACTGAATGAGGGAATGTTGATTAGCAACTGAATGAGGAGTAACAAGTGAAAGTAATTCCTTTAGCTCCAGGAAAAAACAACAAGAAGCATCTCCATAAGTGGGCTTAGCTTCCATGAATATTGGAAAACTACTTTTCTCCCGTATTCAGAGAGTGAGGTTTGGAGAGAAAAATCTGTTTGTTTAGGCTTGAAAAATGGGGCTTTTGTCCAGCCTTGAATAGGGGAGCATAGTGTCAATACTTTCAAGTTTCCTTATATGCACAATTTGCTTGTGTTTTTTTTTTGGTTTGTTTGTTTTTGTTGTTGTTTTTTGAGACAGAGTCTCACTTTGTCACCCATAATAGAGTGCCAGTGCTTCACAGCTCACAGCAACCTCAAACTCTTGGGCTTAAGGGATTCTCTTGCCTCAGCCTCCCAAGTAGCTGGGACTAAAGAATTAAGCTTTTGTTTTCAGGGCTTTGGCATTTATGTTTATATCATAATCTTTTGCACTGCAGGCTGTTATTTAGCTTGCAGAGGTTTTTTTTTTTTTTTTTTTTTGAGACAGAGCCTCAAGCTATCCCCCTGGGTAGAGTGCCATGGCATCACAGCTCATAGCAACCTCCAACTCCTGGGCTCAAGCAAGTCTCCTGCCTCAGCCTCCCAAGTAGCTGGGACCACAGGCACCCACCACAATGCCTGTCCATTTTTTGGTTGCAGCCATCATTGTTGTTTGGCAGGCCGGGGCTGGATTCGAACCCGCCACCTTAGGTTTATGTGGCTGGCGCCTTAGCCGCTTGAGCCACGGGTCCTGAGCCAGCTTGCAGTGTTTTAATGTCATAGCTTTTCAAGTCTGATTTCCCAGTTAGTCAAAATGGAGACATGTGCCTTGTGTAGGTAGTTCATGTGGCCCCTGGACAGTTTAGAACAGACCCAATAATTTTTCTGTTCTACCCTATTGAAAAGGCCCCATACTGTGAATATAGACTCCTCTTTTTTCAAGACTACTACTGTGCTGAGAAGAGGGCTGAGAAAGGGCAAGAAAAAATACCACCAATCTTTCCAGTAATTTGCAGTTATCCTTTTCTTGATGCAATGTTTGATTAGTTGCTATAAACCTTTGATTGTTTTCATGAATTCTGGAAAAGTTGTTTTTGACAATTTTTGCTTACTTGGCAATGCTTCTGTGGGAGGAAAAAGCTTGGAGTTTCCTACTTTATTTTGCTACAGTGAAACTGGGACATTGTTTGTTTGTCTTACAAAAATGACTACATGTGTTCTGATATTGCATCTGATCCACTTTGATTGACTATTCCCAAAGTAACAAAGAATTTTTTTTTTATTTGTTTTGAGATAGAATTTCACTCAGTCACCCTGGTCAGATTATGGTGCATCATACCTCACAGGAAACTCAACCTCTTGGGTTCAAGCTATCCTCTTGCCTCAGCCTCCCAAATAGCTGGGAGTACAGGTACATACCATAATGCCTGGCTAGCTTTTCTTTCTTTTTTTTTTTTTTTTTTCAGTAGAGATGTGGTCTTGCACTTGCTCAAGCTGGTCTTGAACTCCTGAGCTCAAGGGAGCCACCCACTTCAGGCTCCCAAAGTGCTAGGATTATAGGCATGAGCCCCCACACCTGGCTCAAGAATTTTTAAGTAAAAATTTACCTCCATATTAAATCTTGATCTAAGTCTTTTCTTTCTAACTGAAGGTATATTTTAACATCATGTGTGCCTTTTCAACTGTGTATTCAATAACCAAAACACTGAAGAGATCAACATTTAAATTTTATAAACCAAGTTTTTGCAATGGAGTTTGAACCTTTACTAGTAAAAGTCATTATTTTTAGGCAATAATATATACCTTTCATTCATATCATAAGAAACTTCTTTGTAGGTTCAAAATTATCACAGTTTGGAGGTAAGCACAGCTTACATCTGTCCTGTCACCTGGCTTCTACCAATCTAAGCATGGTTTTCACATTTTTAAATTAATGAAAAAAATGAAAAGAATAGGGCAGTGCCTGTGGCTCAAAGGAGTAGGGTGCCGGCCCCATATGCCAGAGGTGGCGGGTTCGAACCCGGCCCCAGCCAAATAAATAAATAAACGAAAAGAATATCAAAATGTTGTAATGCATGAAAATCAAATAAAATTTAAATGTTAGTGTCCATAAATAAGGTTTTACTAGATGACATTCACATTCATTTGTTTATGTGCTGTCTACAGGTGTATTTGTGCTACAACAGCATAATGGAGTAGTTTTGACAAAGATCATAGTCTCTACCTAAAATGTTTACTATTTAGCTTTTCACATGAAAAATTTTCCTACCCCTGTTTTAGTACAACATTAAAAGAATCAACAACCAAAGAAGTGATTTCAATACAAATTTAGAAAGCCCTCTTCTTTAGCATAAGTCTTTAGTAAGAAGACTAAAGCCACTTCTAGGAATTTCAGCTACTGTTTATTTGATGAGGTAATATGCATTTTTTGCCAATAAAATCTTTGATACTTTCAGCATATTCACTCCAGTGTAGAGTATTTCTAACTAGTTTAGTTGAGAATAAGGACAATCTTTCATCTAATGCATCTTTTCTGAATGAGTCTTCTTGGAACTTACATTTATCAATAATATTAAATATTTCTTTCCAAAAATTTAAGAACTTCTGAACTTGATATTTACTCCTCTACATGAGTTGGAGAAAACATGAAACTTCTTCACCATTAAGAAACCTCTTAGGTCAGAAGATACACTATTTTGCAGTATTAAATCTTTAAATGTATGAGTATATAAACCAGACTTCCTTAAACTTTTACAGTGAAATCTGTTTGTTGAAAAACACCTTAAAAGCATGTTTCCAGTGATTTGGAAAACATCCATAATGATACTTTCAGCAACACTCTCAACTAATGCATGCTGATATAAATTAGCTCTCCTAAAAATAATTCTGAACTAGATTTTTAGCTATTTCTTAGCAACTATCTTTTTTAAAGAAGTCTACATCCACAGGTTATACAATTTCATGTGATACTTGAGATTAATTAATTTTAAGAGATTATTATAAACTATCAGCTGAATAATTTCATTGCCATTTTAAAGTAACAATTTGACTACATAATCACTTTTTTTCCTTTAGAGCTCCCTGTCATGACTACACAGATAAATTCATTAAAGGGAATTCATTTTTGTAAAAAAAAATTTTGTCAGATGTTTCTGCCTTAGCATTGGCTATTGGTAAGAAAATTTTACATAAAAGAGAAGATACAGTCTCTAAAACTTCCTAAGTCAGCTTTTGGATGATGATATTTGACATTATTTCCTGGCTATTTGGTCCATCTTTTGGATATTTTTATAAACATCCTCAGATATCAGGGGAAAACATGCGAAAGTTAGAATAATATGACAAATAAGCAAGTTAAGATGATATTGAAAAATTTATTTTGTCACTGAACTATTGTCATCCTGTTAAATTTTCTCCATTATTTTTGATGTCTTCACTTGATATCTATAGTTGTATAAAATATTTATATAAAGGATTTAATAACTTTATTGAACAATGTTTTTTGATTGGTGATACTTTGCCATAAAAAGTACCTTATTTGAAAGGTACTTTTTTTTAGTTAAAAGGGCCTTATCATATTATACTAATTTTTACTTACTTCCAGATAGTGCTATATCTATAGTTGTGCCTTCTGGTTGAAAGGCATTTTATAAACTCATGAAATTTTATCTGCAGGTAGGAATTGCTGATTTTCTTTATCTGATACAAGTATTTTTTGAGCATCTAAATATGCAGTTGACTATGAACCCATCTGTTTCATAGCTTGATTTTCTTCTCAGTGTGATGATAGTCTAAGTAATAGCATTCTCTAAAACTTGAACAAAAAATCCACGTTCATTTTATAATGGGTGCTGTCAGTTATCTGGTTTGCTACTTATACTCTTAGTCATATAGTCTCATGGTACACAGGTAATACTAATTATTAACATCTTACACCAAAATTCTTCCCCAAAATATTTATTAAACCCTTCTTTTATCCAGGTGCCTTTTATAATTTCCTTTGCTCTCCTTTTCAGTAGTGTAAGAATCACTTTATAGGACACTATGTTATGCTTTAAAAACCATTTTATTTATAAGAGAAGTAAGCATACTTAAATCAGGTAAAGAAACTTCACTGTTCATCTTGGTTAGGTTGTGAAGAAGATTTAGATATGGTAGGGTTAGATCTTGAAAACACCTTTGACAGAGCTGAAGATACCTTTGCCAGCATTTTAGATCCTTGTTTGGAGATACTGGGCTTAGGAGTTTCTGTGGATAAAGCAAAAAATAATATGGACTTAAATTAGACATTTTAATTGAGGCATTATGCTATAGAATTTCTGACTTAAAATTCAAAATTTGACATTTATGAAATAAGTCATAGGATTTATAAATCATTCACAGTTATGTTTTATTTGATTATTCCAATATGCCTATGAAATAGGAAGAGTGATATTTTCATTTTTGGACACTGAAGTTGGCAAGGTCAAATACCTTGTTTATTGTCATAAGAGTAAAAAGTGACCAATCTGGAAATGGGTCCGGACTTTCTGACTCTCTTGGTATCATTAAGTCCACTGTACTATAAAACCTCTCTGGTCAGGTGTGCAAAGTGCAAAGTCCACCCCTCTTTTTACAGCTCAAAACTCTCTGAATATATCTAATGAGCTAATTTAAAAAGTAACTTTCAATTCTGTATAGTGAGTATGACTATTTCAGAATGCTCAAGTGAAATTAAGAGTATATTTAAAACATCATAACTTCTCATCTATTTTGAACAAATTTTCCATTGTCTAATCTCAAGAAATTATTTTTGTCACATGAAATATTACTGTAGAGATAATAAAAGAGTCTCTATTAGGATTTTTTGGCCCCACTCATTCAGCATTTGAGACTTTTAGAGAACATCATTATCTCAGTATAACAAAATAATTATTTTATATAAAAAGGCAGAAATAATTATTTACATACTTTTCTGAAACTTCATGATAGGTTGTGATGGGACATGAAAACATACAGAATACTAAAAACCATATTTTCTTTTTGCAGTTTTTGGCCAGGGCTGGGTTTAAACCTGCCACCTCCGGCATAGGGGGCCGACGCCCTACTCCTTTGAGCCACAGGCACCGCCCCAAACTCTATTTTCTTAATCACAGTACATGACATTTAAAAGTCTGCAATTTTCATATAGAACTTTCATAGCCAGCTTCTCTTGAAAAACTGGAAGACTTGGCAGGAATGCAGTATGCCAGTGATTAGAGCTGAATAGCAATTTCCACCTTCAAGGGAGTCTGCCATCTCTAGTGGTCCACAGAGCCCTGTTCAACCTGCAGCTCTTGTTTATTGTGCCTACCTTGCTTCTATAACCTTTTGAGTGTGTGAACTATGATGATGTTGAATAAACTTAGACTTTGAAATCAGACAAATTTGTGTTTGAATCACAACTCTGCACCTTACTAGCTGTGGGATAACCTTGGATAACTTACTGTCATTTTTCTCCTTAATAATTTTCACTTTTCTCTTTAACAAAATATAGATAGATGGTGCCAAATAAATGTTAGTTAACTATCCTTTTCCTCTTGGTGTGAAGTTATATCAGGAGAACTGCATAATACAGAGAAAATTACCATTTATGTAAATATTAATAGTAAGAATATTATTTCAATCCCACATCAATAATATGCAAGGGAAGTTTATTAGCAGGAGGCTAATAAACATTCTAAATATAAGTTGATGCAATTGAGAGTTTTATTACACTATTTGTTAAAAGGACAGTATATTACGTACCTGGTAACGCTTCCTTTGAGGAAGATCCACTGCCAAGAACATCGCTGGATCCTTCAAAGATGGTAATAAACTGCCAAGAAATTAAAATACTAACTTAGTCTTCAATCAGACAGTAAATGCTAGATATACACAGGAATCCTCAAGGGATGAAGCACAACCATAATAGCATCTTACATTAAAGATATGTGTGCTCTGGAGTCTCAAAAACTGTTCTGTGATGCCTAGGCTCATAATTTTTGCTTGACATGTAAATGATAATCAAGGGCTCAGCCATGTCAACTCAACAAAAAATGTCAGCCTTACTGGCCCCCTGACCCTCATTGACTGAATCAGGAAAAGTTACAAATCCTTTTCTGAGAGTAGATATAATGGTAAGAGGAGAAGGAAAAAGTATGTTCACTTCATAATCTCTAATTTCCTTTTATGGAAATCTTAGCCACTGTGGGGTCTGGAATAATAAAGCAATTGTTTATACCTGAAAGTGGCTGGGAACATGGCTCAAATATGGGCTTTACTCTACATTGTCTACTCTACGTTGACTTTTATCACTTCCTTGAATGCAACAACAGCAGTTGTACCAGAAAGTCATGAAATAGCCTAAGACAGGAGGTGGGCTTCAGTGTAACTATTCTAATATGTCATCAGTTAAAAAAGGAAGTGAAAAAAAATCAGTGAGGTGAGGTCTATATATACGTAACAGAAGAGAACTGTGTTGTGTATAGATCATGTAAAGACTGACAGACACTACTATTAGAGTTTAACCATAGTTCTTCTAAGAGGACTTGAGGGGGCTTATGAATTAAGCTATTACAAACAAGTTACCTGAAAAATAAAGTATAATAAAACAGAGGCAATCTAAAATACTGGTTCTCAACCTTGACTTATACAATTGAGGCATCTGTGAAAACATATTTTTTTAAAGTATGAATCCCTGGGGCCTATAACAAGGTTGGAGCAGATAATTTTTTTTTAATTTCCATAAAATGGTGGTGTGGGAGAATTAGAACTGAGAATCCTTGATCTAAAAGTAGAGCACAGATTCTACCACGTGTCTGGGATGAGTAGCTATGTAGTTGGCCCTATTTGTGAGCTCAGCATCCATGGATTCAACCAGCCAAAGATCCAAAATATTTTTTTAAAAAAGAAGATGATTTCATGGTCACAGAACACGTACAAACGTTTTGTTCTTTTTATTATTCTCTGAGAAATGCAGTATAACAATTCTTTACATAGCATTTATGTTGTATTATATGTAAGTAATCTAGAGAAGATTTAAATTATATGGGAAGGGACAAAAACCTACTTAACTGGTACTATGAACAATATTTGGGTAATGGGCACACCTTTTGGATGCGATCAAGCATTACTTAAGTGATCCATGTAGCATAAAATATCTGCATCCCAATAGTATTTTGAAATTAACAAAAAATATATGGGAGGATGTAAGTAGGTTTATGTAAATACAACATTAAATAAGGGACTTCAGTATTCATGAATTTTTATATCTGTGGGGATTTATGGAACCAATACTCCACAGGTAACAGGGATAACTGTACTTAAACCCTACTGAGAACATGCATCTTTTTGTTAGATTCAAGTCTTTTCTGTTACTTCACGAAAGGTTATAATCAAGGCTTTAAAGTTTTTATATGAAAATTTCACAATCTTGGCTACATTGGAGTTGACATCTCTTGAACTTTTCCTTTAAAGTGTAGATATTGTGCTTTTTCTTTGTATGTTGAGTAATTTTAGATTGTATCCTGGGCATTTTAGACAAATTATAAGATTCTCAGTCCTATTAGAATCCTCTGGAGAAGGCTGCTATTTTTGTTTAAGTAGGCAATCAATTCACTTACATTCATCTGTGACATCCTACCCTTTCTTCCATGGATATGGTTCTTTTTTTTTTTTTTGAGACAGAGCCTCAAGCTGTCACCCTGGGTAGAGTGCTGTGGCGTCACAGTTCACAGCAATCTCCAACTCCTGGGCTCAAGCAATTCTCCTGCCTCAGCCTCCCAAGTAGCTGGGACTACAGGCACTCGCCACAATGCCCGGCTATTTTTGGTTGTAGCCGTCATTGTTTGGTGGGTCTGGGCTAGATTCAAACCCGCCAGCTCAGATGTATGGGGCTGGTGCCTTAGCCGGTTGAGCCACAGGTACCGAGCCATGGATATGGTTCTAATGTAATTTCAGTTTTCAAAGTCTTTGTAGTGTTGAGCATCCTTGTGTGTGCATTACTGTCAAAACTATAGTTCAATTTCTCAAGGCCTTTTATCTATATAAAATCAGATCAGTTTCCACATAAGTATAATACAACTCAAAGGAGACTTTATGCACAGATTTAGAAATCTCCTTTTTGAGATTCCTACTCTCTCTGACTTTTTACGGTGTCTCTGACTCTCAGAAACCCCCTTTTCTAGCTCTGTGGCTAGAATGCCATGGCTCTTACCCCTCCAGGGTAAAGTGCTAAGAGAAAGCAGAGAAAAATATAGCAGGTACAATCAAAACTCCCAAGGCTACTGATGACCCCTTTCATACTTCCTCTCGTCAGTCAGAATTTTCTTTTAGAGTTTTAGGTGGCGCCACAACAGCCTCTGCTCCCACTGCCATGCAGCTTCCTGACTAAATGTTGCCATGAGGCTGGGCCAACGGGAGAAACGGTGGGAAATAAAGTGGGGAGTCCTCCTACCATATCCCACATGAACCTCCTCTCCAACAAAGGTCAGAAAGCAATGATTCTTTTTTGGATCTTTATTCTACTCACTCCATCTATGCAATTCCAGGATATGAGCTGTCCTGAGTCTAAGCCAGGAAATAGTCAAAGAAAAAATATCCAGGAAAATCACAATATTACTGGTTGTTCTTTTTAAGTTCTGGTCTCCCTGTCCAAATCCCTGCTATTATTTATTTTTGAGAATCCTTAACAGCTTTCCAAAGTTTTATTTTAGTTGTAATCAGTGAGAAAGATAGGGTGGAACATGCTAACTCTACCTCGTTTGGTAATGAGGTCTGAGATAACCACTTAGTTGTACCATGGAGAAGATAGCAAATGAGAAAAATGGTGAAGAATGGAATGAGTCCACATTAGCCAGAAATTCCACAAGACACAAGGACTATCACTAGGTCTCTAAACTAGGGCCTCACTGTTTCCCATTTATTGCTGTTACAATTTTGCTCTTTCGAAAATATGGCTTAAGTGAGTATGAGGGTGTTAAGTGGGTATTTCATATTCTTAAATGGGAATTAAGTGGAGAGAGAGACTATCCAGGATCTTCAGAAATTTGACAAAAATTATCTTAAGCATGAATTGCAGGATTTTAAGAATGGGTTTTAAAAATTGTGCTATATAACTGTATATCTAGAGTTGGGAAGTACTGCTTGAGTGGTGATTAATTGAACCAAGAGAAAAATAATGTGTTAAAAAGCAGAAAAGGTAACCGGGCATTGTGGCGGGCACCTCTAGGTCCAGCTACTGGGAAGCTGAGGCAAGAAAATCACTTAAGCCCAAGAGTTGGAGGTTGCTGTGAGATGTGATGCTAAGGCACTCTACTGAGGGTGACATAGCAAGACTCTGTCTTAAAAAAAAAAATTAATTCCTTAATTCCTCATCGGAAGCTATATAAAAAGAATTAAAGAAAAGGAAATTTCCTGTGTTCACACTGTGGAGTAGGCAGGCTTTTTTGAAAGCCTCCTGTAAAGACTCAGTCTTCAGGAATGAAGGGAAGCGGGTCAAAATAGCACTCATTTCCTGCCAGGCATGCTCCTCCATCCTTGAAGTTCCTGTTCTCTCTCCACCTTCCCAAGTCCCTCACTTGGGTCTACCCACTCTAGGTTTTTCTTCTGAGAATGAAGGAACAGAGCTAATAAATGGAATCATACTCAGGTCCTAGAAAATTCAATTAGTGCCTTACTCTGCATTTAAACAAGGAAAATCAGTTTAACCAAAAGGTAAGAATTTTGATTAAGAGATTTTCATGTACCAGGGACAGACTTCAGCTTGGGGGAGGGATCTGGTTGTGGAAGAATTGTGAATAAGGTAATTCAAAGAATTATGAATAAGGTAATGCTTCTTTAAGTCCCTTGAATCATACCATATAGTCCCTGATTGGACTTTGAAAACTGGGTTATTCTGAATTAGACACCAATGTATTTTGGGCTCCTAAAAACGTTTACCTTAACACTGTTGGCACGCTCTAGATTTTGCTTCTGAGAATTTTCTGTGGAGAAAAAAAGGAAAATAGTTTTTTTTTCCTGAGGTATATATACTTACTGACAAACATCTGATCTAATACTTTTTTTTCTCCTAAGAATTACAGACCCTAGGCAGATAGAAGTTATTATTTGTAGTGTAAGGCAATGGGAACAAGACCACAATAGGTTGAGAGCCCTTGAGTCTTCAGACATGTCTTAACCCTTCACCTAGGTACTATGAAAGAGTGTGATTTAGTAGGAGGGGAAGGCTCTGCAACTTCATAGCTATGCATCTACCCACAGCTATTTAGTCTCTGTGCACATGGTTGTTTACCTGTAAAATGAGGGTATACCCCACAGATGATTCCTAAGGGCATTTCTAGTTCGAACATTCTTTTTACATGCCTAATTAAAAGTGGAATTATCTTGTTTATATCATTACTTTGGGGATGAGACTAAATTTAGGAGCAGAAGATTTGGGATGCAGGCTAGACTCTGGTTTTGACTCTGAGTAATGTACAAGTCACTGCCTCACTCTTAGCTTGAGTTTCCTCATCTATCACATGAGCAGAGTGTTATGAGGCAGTTTCTGTAGAAGTCTTTGATTCCACAATTCAGAGATCATCAGTGACTAATGTGTTTGTAATGTGTTTGTAGAATTCTGGCATACTTAAGTGCTATATGGATTATGGTAATAAGAAAGATTTTCACTTCCAAATTAAGAGACTGTGTTTCAGTTGCAATTTGATTCCAAACCTGCTTTACAGTAAACATGACGTTCTACCTCTCATATATGCTGTCATCAGACCACATTGGTCTTCTGAGGTCTCAACAATTAGAAAACTAAAAGTCCTTACAAATAGTGAAAGGAGTCAATACTAATAGAGATAAAAAATCAAGAAAGAAAGTGATGTCTATCCTTAGTAGATGTGAGCAAATTTAATGTGAGCAAATAAATTTAGCTCTGAAAGCCTTTTTGCACAAGCTTATAGAACAGAAAGGAAGTATGACCCTTCAAGGAAATTATTAAATCCTGGTAGCATGAGTTCTGACTCAGATATATATATCTGATCTTGTGGATATTTCTCACAAGAGATTTAAATATAAATTCATAATATCACCCCATATATTTGATACAAACAATTAACTAAATCTTACAGCAATTTAAACTAATTTTAATACCTGAGTGAGGTAATATGGAACTTTCCAAAAGTAGATAAACTCACATAACAAAAAGTATTAACTTTAAGCTTTATACTAAAAAAGAGAATAGTAGTAAATAAAGTTTCCTTTAGAATATTCTGTAATTTAAGAAAAGAGAGTCCAACCTTCTAATATTTTAGCACTTGTGTCTGTTTTATGCTCTTCAGAATCACTAAAACAAAAGAAAAAGCATGTCATTTTCAATGCACATCATTTTCAATTTACTAAATGAAGAAATTACAGGTTAAGTAAAACAACAGTCATCCTACATATAGGAGTAAACCTGTAATAGTATATCACTGAGAGTCCAAATCAAATGAAAACAATTTCTAAATTTAGTTTTTCCTATCTTAATTATTTTTTAAATATTTATTTATTTATTTTTGAGACAGAGTCTCACTATGTCACCCTCAGTAGAGTGCTATGGCATCACAGCTCACAGCAACCTCAATCTCTTGAGCTTAAGCAAGTCTCTTGCCTCAGCCTCCTAAGTAGCTGGGACTACAGGCGCCCACCACAACCCCCTACTGTATTTTTGTTGCAATTGCCTTTGTTGTTTAGCTGGCCCAGGCTGGGTTTGAACTCCCCAAACTCAGTGCACATGGCTGGCACTGTAACCACTGTACTATAAGTGCTGAGCCTTGTCTTAATTATTTTTAAGTGTAAAGTTCTGACATTAACTACATTCACATTGTTATGCAACCATCACCACCATCCATCTCTAGAATCTTTTCATCTTCCCCAACTTAAATTTTATACCCACTAATGACTAACACACCATGTCCCTCTCTCCCTAACCCTGAAAACCACTAGTCTACTTTCTGTCTCTATGAATTTGACTACTCTAAGAAGGGACCTCTTATGAGACATAGTATTTGTCCTTTTGTGACTGACATTTCAATTAGCATAGTGTCTTCAAGGTTCATGCATGTCAGAATTTTCTTCCTTTTTAAGGCTGAATAATATATTCCCTGAATGTATATAACACATTTTGTTTATTTATCTATTGATGGACACTTGTGTTGGTTGCAATGTTGGTCTACAGTGAATAATGTTGCTGTGAACATGGGTGTACAAGTATCTGTTTCAGTCCCTGCTTTCAATTATTTTGGCTATATACCCAGCTGTGGAATTTCTAGATTATAGAGTAATTCTATGTTTAATTTTTGAGAAGCCACTATACTGTTTTATACAGTGGCTGCAACATTTTAAATTTCCACCACAAACACACAGGGTTCCAATTACTCTACACTTTTATCGACACTTGTTTTCTTTCTTTCTCCTATCCCCTCCAATCCTCTTCCCTCCTCTTCTGTTCTTTTCCTTCTATAGTTATCCCATTGGGTTAAAGTATTATCTCATAATTTTGATACATGCATGCATTTCCCTAATGATTAGTGATATGCACCACCATTACACAAGCTTTGTTATTAGCAATTTGTATAAATCTTCTCTGGAGAATTGCCTATTCAAGTCTTTTGCACATTTTTAATTCATCCATTTTAACTGTTGCTGAGTCTTAGATTTTTTTTATATATTCTGAATATTAATCCTATATCAGGTATATGACTTGCAGTATTTTCTTCCATCCTACTGGTTGACTTTTCACTTTATTTATAGTGTCCTTTGAAGTACAAAAGGTTTTAATTTTGATGAAGTACAATTTATTTATTTTTTTCTTTTCTTGCCTGTGCTTTTGGCCATAAGTAAATATCATTCTCAAATCCAGTGTCATGAAGCTGTTTTTTTGTCTTTATGTAGGAGTCATATGTAAAGTTGTAGCTCTTATTTATTAAAAAAACCAACTCTACTTAGTTATAGCCTATAGGCCTTTTAATATGCTGCTTTTTTTTTTTTTTGACGCAGAGTCTCACTTGGCCACCCTCGGAACAGTGCAATGGTGTCTTAGCTCACAGCAACCTCAAACTCCTGAGCTAAAGCTCTTCTCTTGCCTCAGCCTCCCAAGCAGCTGGGACTACAGACACCCACCACAATGCCTGGCTAATTTTTAGAGCCAGTGTCTCATTCTCGCTTAGGCTGGTCTTGAACTCGTGAACTCAAGCAATACACTTGGCTCAGCCTCCCAAGTGCTGGGATTACAGGCATCAGCCATTGAATCTGATGATCACTTTGGGTAGTATTCAGATCTTAATAATATTAAGTTTTCCAATCCATAAATGTGAAATGTTTTTCCATTTATTTGTGTCCTCAATTTCATACAGTAATGTTTTGTAGCTTTCACTGTACAAGTTTTTCACTTCCTTCATTAAATTTACTTCTATTAATTTTATTCTGTTTGATGCTAGTGCAATATTTGCCTTTTCTTTCCTGTTTAGATTGTTCATTGTATGTGTAGGCAACCTCCAATTTATAAATATCCAAATTACGTACGTCTCACACTTATGAGTGGAGACTATTACAATAAATTCCTAAATTACAGACATTTGACTGACATATGACTTGCACTTAGGAATGGAGGCTTCTACAAGTGATAAATAATTGTACCTGTTCCAATATTCAAAACTATACAAATTCAAATCTATAGAACCTATCTTGTTTATAACCTGGGGATTGCCTGTATATAGAAAAGCAATATTTATATATGTTGATTTTATATCCCACAACTTTGCCAAACTCATTATTAGTTCTAAAAGGATTTTTTGTGGAGATTTCTACATATATTATCATGTCATTTATAGACAAAAGTCATTTTACTATTTTTTTTTTTTTTTTGCAGTTTTTGGCTGGGGCTGGGTTTGAACCCACCACCTCCAGCATATGGGGCTAGTACCCCACCCTTTCTACTCTTTTAATTCCTTTTTGCTTTTTCCTGCCTAATTTCTCTGGCTAGGACTTCCAATATTATGTTAAATGGAAGTGGCAAAAGTGAGCATCTCTCAATTTTATCTCTGATCTTGGAGAAAAAGCCTCATTTCTTCACCATTGAAGACAAACTTAGGTGTAGGCTTTTCATACATGGCCTTAACTGTGTTCTTCTACCTCTAATTTGTTGAGTGCTATTATCATGACATGTATTGAAATTTCTGAGTTATCCTACATCAATTGAGAAGGGTGTGTGTCCCCTCCATTCTGTTAATGTGGTATATTATAGTGACTGTTTTTGTATGTTGAAACTCTTTTGCATTGCTGGGAAAATTCCACTTGGTCATGGTCTCTAAGCCTTTTAATGTGCATCAGTGTTCATCAGTGATACTAGTCTATAATTTTTCTTATACAGTTTTAGTATGGCTTTGGTATCAAGGTAATGCTGATCTCTTGACTTTGGGAGTATTTCTTTCTTTCCAGGTTTTTAAAAATGTTGAGAAGGGTTGGTGTTAATTCTTCTTTGATAGAATCGGCTTTGAGCTTTTTTTCATTGTGGTTAGCAGATTTATGACTATTATTCAATGTCCTGGCTGTTTGTAGATTTGCTCAGATTTTTCCAATTCATAATGATTCCATTTTGGCAAACTGAGTGTTGCTAGGAATTTCTCCATTTCATGTAGTGGATCCAATTAATTGGCATACAATCTTTTATAGTATTCTCTTAGAAACCTTTTTGTTTCTAAACTAAGTGGCAATGTCCCTTCTTTCATTCATAATTTTAATTATTTGAGGCTTTTCTCTCTTTCCTTAGGTAATCTTGTTAAAGGCTTCTCAACCTTGTTGATCTTTCTGAAGAGCCAATTTTTGATACTATTGATTTTCTTTTTTGTTTTTCTAGCCTCTATTTTATTTATTACTCCTCTAATTCTTATTATCTTGTTCCTGTTAATAGCATTAAGTTTGTTATTTTTCTAGTCTGTTAAAGTGTAAAGTTAGATTATTGATAAAATATTTTTCTTCTTTTTTTAAAATTCAAATGTTTTTATTACATGGATACTTTGTATATTGCTTAAGTTGGGACTTTTTGTGTGCTCATGATCAGAACAGTGTTCATTGTACCTGATTTATAATTTTTTTACCCCACCCCTTCCCCTTTTTGGTTTCCCATGTCCTTTACATCTCTTTATGCCCATGTGTGCTCTTCATTTAGTGCCTAATTATTAGAGAGTCCATGTGGTATTTGCTTTTTCCTTCTTTGGATATTTCTCTTAGAATAAAGCTCTCCAGTTCTCTCCAATTTTCTGGGAAAAACATTATTTGATTCTTTTTTTATAGCTGAGTTGTACTTCATGGTTAATACACACATGCATGTGTATGTATAATCCACTCATAAATAGATGGTCAATTATGTTGACTCCACATCTTTGTAATTGTGAATTATAATGCAATAAATATTTAAGTGCAATTTTTTTTGATAAAATATATCTTTTAGGCACATACCTATTTGTGGGATTCCTGGATCAAGCGGTATGTCTGCATGTTTTTCTCTAAGGAATTTATGTACTATTTTACATGGAGGTTATTTTAATTTGCAGTCTCACCAACAGTGTATAAGCATTCCTATCTTTCTATATCCACACCAACATCTATTGTTTCTGGACTCTAAACATGTCCATTGTGACAGGGATAAGGAAGCATCTCATGTGGTTTTATTTTCCTTTTCCCTGATGAACACTTTTTAATATGTCTGTTAGTCATTAGTCTTATCTTCTTTTGAAAAACTTATGTTCACGTCTTTTGCCCACTTTCTAATGTTTTTTTCTTTTCCTTGATGATTTGTGGGAGTTCTTTGTAGATTCTGGATATTAGCCCTTTATTAGATGTATAGTTTGTGGATATTTTCTCCCATTCTATAGGTTTTCTATTTACTGTGCTGGTTATTTCTTTCACTGTGCAGAAGCTTTTTGATTTGATTAAGTGAGCTCTATTTATTTTTGCTATTGTTATATTTACCTTGGGATCTTAGTCATAAATTCTTTGCTTAGGCTAATACAAAGAATAGTTTTTCCTATTTTCTTCTAGAATTCCTGTGGTTACATACGTTATATTTAACTTGGTTATCTGGTAGTTCTTAACCACTTTGGGACCAGAGAAGACAGTTTTTCCATGAATGAAGGTGGGCTTGAGGGAAAGGCATTAGATTCTCATGAGAAACTTGCAACCTAGATCCCTCATGTGACCAGTTTACAGTAGGCTTTGTTGCTGTTTGCCCCCATTGACTTCCTTGGAACCTGGCTAAAGCTGAAGGGACAGGTATAACAAAGATTCTCACACTCAACTACTGCC